AAGTCGAAGGAAATTAGTTATAGCATTAGATTTTATTGATGTTTAATTTTTTTTAATAAACATGTTTTGGTGGAAATAATCATTTTTGTAACAATCAGATTGAAAAACTTCATCAGATTCTATAAGAACAAATATAATTAACTTCAATAGGTAAAGAATATTCTATCAAAACGGAAAATTCAAATAAAATTCTTTTTGAAATGATTTATTCGTGAAGAATTGCATAATTGGCAAACAAAAGTTACAAAAAGGAAAAAAATAACTTAGTAATTTTAACTAAGAGAATGTTAATGGAACCTAACTAACTAACGAGATTGGTAATGAATCTGTATCTTTAGCGAAAAAAAAGCTATAGTGAATAATTTTCATGAAAATGAACAAAGTATATTTTCTAGTGGAAATATTTAAAGTTCTCTATTAATACAAAAATTGACATTAATGAAATGCTCTATATGCCTTGCAGCGTATTGATTCTCCTGTTTTTAAAATAAATGTTACATTGTCTTTTACATGTGCTTTTTATGTTTATAATATGTTATAATCAGATAATTAAATAGGAACCTAACTAACTAATGAGAATGTTAATGAATCTGTATCTAGCGAAAAAGAAGCTATAGTGAATAATTTTCATAAAAATGAGCAAAGTATATTTTCTAGTGGAAATATTTAAAATTCTCTATTGATACAAAAATTGACATTAATGAAATGTTCTATATGCCTTGAAGCGTATTGATTCTCCTGTTTTTAAAATAAATGTTACACTGTCATTTACATGTGCTTTTATGTTTATAATATGTTATAATCAGATAATTAAATAGGATCCTAGTTTAATCTATTAGTCATGAACTAAGCATAGTATAAATTTCAATCAAATCGATGACGGATGATTAGTGATTTTTCAGGTTCTAAATATCTATCCCAATGATGAGGAAAATCCACTTGTGGAAACTTTGAAGTTCTCTACTACGGATTATGTTTAACCAACTTTTAAACCATCAATGGCTCAACAGGTTATTGATTTGGCCTAGTCACGTTGTTGAGATTTCGTATTCTCTGTTACGTAGTATTGCGCCATTTCGTGTCAGTTTTTTTCCTTTTAATCTCATAATCGGGACACGTATAGGTGGCTGATTTTATAGAGCAAATGACCTTGTTCTGCACCGTACTAATAAGGTTGTACTAAGGTGCTTGCAGCACTTGTTGTTACAAACAATCATTGGGTAATGAAGGCTCTCTAAAGCAAAAGTTAAAGATTGTACAACAGCCGTTTGCTCGAACTGCCGTAATGAACATCATCATGACAATAATTGCCAGTCTAATATACGCTGTCCAGTCACATTAATGTGACCCCCACCTACTTTCGACGTCAACGTGAAATAAATAATCACAAAGGTAGGTGGCAGCACATTGCAGTGGAGTGTATATAAAGGATGTCCTAAGGCATCGGAAAGCATTTCAATCATTGGCGTAATGCAGAAAAGAAGCGATTTATCCAACGTCCAAAAGGACATGATTAGTGGCTTTCGGGTCAAGGATGGAAGCATTTCGAAAACGGCTAATTTTGTGAACTGTTCGCGTGCCGCCGTGGTAAAAGTATACCGTGCATGGCAAAATGGCACTATCTAAAATCAGCGGCGTGGCACATGTGGTGCACCAAGGGCTATAGATGACACAGGTGAACGAAGGCTACGGAGATGCGTTCGGGCGAATAGGCATGCAACTGTTGAGCAACTGACCGCCCAGATGAACCAAGGGGCTACCAAGAGTGTATCCTCAACAACGGTTCAGCGAACGTTACTATGCATGGGCCTCCGCAGCAGACGCCTGGTTTATGCACTTATGCTGACTGCTGTTCATCGTCGACGAAGGGTGGAATTTGCAGGCCAGTACCGAAACTGAACGCCTACAGAGTGGCGACAAGTGGCTTTTTCCGATGAATCACGTTTTATGCTCCATCGGACAGATGGACGTTGGTGTATGCGGCGTGAAACGTCTGAAAGCAAACACACTGCAACAATTGCCGGAAGGATCCAAGCTGGAGGAGGGAGCATTATGGTTTGGAGAATGTTTTCCTGGCATTCACTGGGTGCACTCATCATTGTGGAAGGCACGATGGATCAGCACAAGTACGCATCTGTCCTTGCGGACCATGTCCACCCTTACATGCGAATTATTTTTCCTCAGAATGATGGCATCTACCAGCAGGACAATGCGAGGTGTCATACAGTTCGCAGTGTATGTGCGTGGTTCGAAGAGTACCAGGATGAGTTTACCGTACTCCCCTGGTCATCAAACTCACAGGATTTCAATTCAGTGGGACCACCTCGTCGGGTGGGATCACGGCACTGGTGGGGCACTAAAAATCTGTGGGACCACCTCGATCGGGTTGTTCGCGCCATGGATCCTCAACCGCGTAATCTAGCGCAGCTGGCCACGGCACTGGAGTCGGCATGGCTCAATATCCCAATGAACATCTTCAGAAACCTAATTGACTCTCCTCCTGCACGTCTCGCAGTGCCAAAGGTGGTCCGCTCTGCCAAAGGTGGTTATTCTGGCTTTTGACAGGTGGTCACATTAATGTGACTGGACTGTGTACTACATGCTACAGCTTTTTTCCTGCCCCCCGTAGAACCATCCACCATCTTATGGCACTTATTCTGAACTAGTGTAATGTACAATGTGTCTGCCTTTAACCCCATAACATTGTCTGGAATGAAGCAGTAGGCTCTCAATGTCGATTTCAGCAGATTTGTATTGTAAAGCACTCAGCAATGAATTCTGCTTTGGTCTCGAAGTAAATGACTATGGGATATTTGTGCGATGCCAGCCCATCGATTCTATTAAGCCTTTGTTTTGTAAAGTCACAGAGCTGTTACGCCCGGTGGGGAGTGAGATCTCTTACGATAGCAGGTTGTCCTAGTCATACTGCGTACAACCATAACACTTTAACTATAGACTACTGTGCTGAAAAAGTAAGACCAAATATTTTTTTTTTTTTCAAAAACTATTTATTTATTTTTCCACATTTATTTCATCGTCTTCTAAGTAATCCCTTCCGGACATAATGCTCTTAAGGCTACTTTTTTTCCAATCCTCAATGCATGCTAAAATGCCATCGACAGGGATGGCCTTTAAAGCGCGCGGCGATTCATGTTGAATCCCTTCAATCGACTCAAAACGGTGTTTCCGGAGTGGTCTTTTGAGTTTAGGAGTCGCACGGTGCGATTATGGTGGTTGTGGAACAATATGGGTTTCATTTTTGGCGAAAAAGTCACGAAGAATCAATGCAGTGTGAGCAGGCCCATTCAATGTTTTCGGTACCAATCGTGATTTGACGCGTTTGAGGCCCAAAATGGAATTGGTCGATCCTTTTGAAATTCCAACATCATCAGCAAGGTTTCTAATTGTAAATCGACGGTTTGCAAGCACCAAATCTTTAATTTTTTTGGACGTGAGCATCGTCGGTTGAGGTTGATGATCGATCAGAGGGGTCTTCGTCATCAAGGCGATTTTCTGCCTTCTTTGAACTGTTTATACCTCTTCTAATAATTTTTTTTCGATATTGAAATGCTCACAAATGCCTTCTGCAACATTCTATACGTTTCCTCAAAAAAATTTAATGCAAGTTCTTTACTCAATTAATTCAGACATTTCAAAAATCGCCGGAATCTGTTTTAGCGTCTCACAAAGCCAAGCGTAACTCAAATACTAATAAAAATTTTGACTTTAAATTTCATACAGATGTCAAGGACAGTGCTAGCAACCTAAAAAAAAAAAAATTGAAATTCCATAAGCCCGGAATTTTTTCAGCAAATTTTAAATTGAAAATTGGTTTTACTTTTTGGATACAGTAATATTGATGACATCTTGTGCCCATTTGCGTTACCTTTCATGGCATTCATCTTAAATACATTTAACAAGATACCTTTACCATTTACCAAGATCTTACCATTTAACAAAATAATACCAGGCATATACATCTTGCATATTTTGCAACTGCTTCAGAGCTTTTTATACTCTGGCCAGTAAGATCACGAGACATTTCATCAATTGAATATGTTGGAGACATGACAGGCCCTCAAATTTGGGCACTCTGGAATGTCTCAAATCTGAATTAACAAAGGAGGAATATCTGGCAGAATGCATTGCAGAAATCTTTATCACCTCTTACATATAAAGCATGTATCGCTGACTGGAATGGTTGAATAAACTACTGTTTTCAACATTCACTGTGGAAAAAATTATTAGCCATTGATGGGTTTTAAAGTCTTGGATTTTTAATCGTTTCATGACGTATGCAGGAGATTTACGTATATTTAATTTAAAAACAAATAGATACTTTCTTGATAAGGGTCTGGGGATTTTTTTATGCAAAATAATGTATTTTACAATTTTGTTTTAAAAATAAGTTTAGCTACAATGTTATATGAATTTTTTTGTATAAATTTCACGATAGAAGATTTGTGATCTGTTCAATTGTGCAAAGGAGATGGATATTATTAAGAAATTAATCAGGTCTCTACTTAATATGTTAATAATATTCATATGTTATTAACATATTAATTTATAATATTCTCCATATTATGAAAGTAAAATATAGAGGAAATTGAAGATACCAAGCATCAATATAGTATACCAATGCTACCGTAATATTAATAAGTAAGAAGTAAATAAAAATATGATATTGGTTATCACACGCGGAGAGAAGGGAACATCTTCCTAGTTTCTGACCTTATCATTTCCAATTTCAAAATCACAAATGCCTGGTTTCGACATCTGTCGAGGATAAGAACTTTTCCCCAGGTTTCCGTATCATACAAAAAATCCGGGAAGTAGGTGCAGTGATTCACCGCAACCGTAAACCCTCTTCAACTATGAAGTCGCTGCGCATTCTCGCTGTTGTCTTGTGCCCTTCTGGCTACGTCGCGGTAAGATGCTATTATTAAATCTTGATTTTATTATTTGTATATATATATATTACTATTTCTGGTAGCCACCCATCTTACCATGTTGAATATACCGGCTCGTTAGATCACCGAAGTCACAGATCATTGGGCGTAGTCAGTACTTGGGTGGGTGACCCTCACCTGGGAACACCGCGTGCCGTTGGCAAATTTGGGACCCGAATGGCCTGAGTGCTCCAGCGCTCTGGCGCTCGGTGCCAGCCAGGTTTTCGGGTTCGGAACTCGGCGGTGCTATGGAAGTTTTGGTAGGTTCGAATCCACTTTGAGCCGGTGGTGATCCCGTGGCCTCTGGCGACCGTAAGAGCGCCACGCAAAAAGTCAGGCTTCGTACCTACGGTGCTCCACAACAGAAGCTGCTTCCTCCTCTCAAACGCGAGTCACGTATGGCTCGTGGGCTTGGCCGTAAGGGATGTAAGAAACAACAAC